TACGTCGAGGGTCACGTGTTTTGTGAGCACATTCAGAATAGCCGTTGCTCGCGGAGACAGTTGCTGCGATATTAATTGTTATCATTTTGTAACTTTGTAATACCACAATTTTGTGATAAATAACTAAGATCGATGTTTCTTCTGGACAACATAAAAAATTCTACAAGCTAAAATTTGAGAATGTGCTTTGCCAGACTTTTCATACTTGTATAAAATAAAATAATTTTACGAGGAATTGTTGGTATCACGCAATTAGTCGTACAACTCCCAATTTAAGCATATATCTATCGTAAGTGCGTGTGGTTGAAGAGCGATACACAAGTGTTTACTTGATGGCGTTAATGTACTGTAAGCGAACAGCCGATTCATTCACGATGCAAGACATTGACACAATTCCAAACAAAGCCAATAAAAAGTAAAATAATCTACTATGCAATAAAATTTCTAATAAAAAATTTAAATTAAAAAAATTTTTAATTTAAACTTTAAACTTGCCAAAAAATACGCATATACAAGAAATAAACTGTATTGATTTCTTAACTTTTTATTTGGCAAGATTAAAAAAAGAGTGTTAAAAGGGTAAAAAGTGAAACGATAACTTACAATTGTTTATTATGTAATATTTAATTGCAAGAAACTAGAAATGTCCTTTCTCGACATGAGAAAAATCATGTTGTTCAGAAGCAACATTGTTCAAATTCAATAAAATAAAATAACTATTTGTTGTGAAATGATACAAAATACGTTTTGATATAAGACATAAAATCAAATTATCTTTTCGACAGTGTACTGTTGAATAACTGTTTTTACAGTTGCGACAACGCTCCTTTAGCCCTATACACTGGCCAGTGGCCTAAATTACGCTAGTACAAGTTCACATAAAATAATATTTAGCGTTGTGTATAATCGCACAAAGTCGATATAATTTTGTACTAACTATCAACTGATATTGTCTGATTGTGAAAGCAACATTGTTTTTCAAAGTGATTGTTTATCAAGGAACACTTCATAAAACATAACAAATTTTGGTATTGCTTACCGTCAATACCGTCAAATATGGGGTTAAACAGCTCTTGTATTATTTTGTCTCCAAAAAAATCTTTCTTTTTTTAAGATTAATATAAATATAATATTATTTTACGCAATTTTTACAATTTATTAAATATGTAACTCGCAAAATTTGCCATAGTATTTGAACAACAATCCCCGCGCATAATGTGTGATTCGTACATCGAAGAAAGTTTTTAAGATTCGAAAGGAAGCCACGATTCGTCGTTTCGTACGTGCATTCACAAGTGAATTAGCTGCATCATTGTCTGCACGAACGGACGGAAAAAAAAGAAAGAAAAATATCGATTGAATGTAAATATAATAAAAATCCGCGCGTCATCCGGTTGATGCGGACCGAAGAATATTCTGCAAGGCGTCGCGATGCAGCGACGTGACGACGGAATCCCTTATGTGCGGCTTTGCACAATCATTCTTCGATATCGAACGCGTAAGTCGCTTATCGATTGCTTTGTTGTTAAAAATCATCATCCTTGGTCGACATTTTTCCCATTCGAAACTTATTTATACTTATTTATAAACACCGATTAAGATTATAAGCGATGGTAACAACCGATCAATATTCGTTGTTTTTAAGTATTTTTAAGTATTTTAATTTATTCGTACAAAAATGTTTTTACTATACATTCACGAAGAGCTTCAATACATTGATTTAAGCAAGTTTCTCACCTGCTACAAGATTTAGCAATGACTCGGCTCTCCAGGATGCCGCGAAAATTATTGTTGCATGATGGTTGTCTCACTTGGTCAAAATTATTCTCCAATACAACGTAATTAGACCACCTGCGGCGAGAATATGTTGCGTGCGTGCTTCATACTATTCTTTCTTCTTTGTTTCTCTCTTCCTCGTTTTCTCTCTTTGCAATTCCTTGCATCACACGATGCAATAGCGATACTGCACGCAATAGCGATACTGCACGATTCACTCGGCTCAATTTGTATATGAATGAGCACGAATTATCCACACAATGTTGTCAAAAATAAAGAAATATGACCATTGAAACCATCTGATGTGGAATCACCAGGAATATATCCTGCGGAAGCGTCGCAAAACACATGGATTCGTAGGCCGTATAGCCGAGAAATAAACTGAAATGTGAATTGCATGCACACATTGAAAAATATTGAGCTATATATCACAATATCTACATTAATTGTATTAATGTAGAAATAACTACCTTGTATTCGATTATCATCAATTTATTCAATGATTATTATATTATGTAGGGGAGAATTGCCGAATTTGGACTGGCTCCTGAAATAAACCGCCACTATTTATTTTGAAAAAAAAAGATATTTGCAGTGTCATAATTGGCTATACTGGCTTAAAGAGTGAGGGTGGAAAGTGCTAGAATATCGAGGCAACTTTTCCACTCACAATCAGTCTCGCTGAGTTCTGAAAAGTATTGGTGTGTGAACATTATTTTCCCCGACGTCTCAAATCAATTTTCTTCTGCATCCTATAAGTACTATAATTTTAAACGTTATTAACGTAAAGTATATTGTCTTAGCTACAATGTGATGTACTTGTTTGTTTATTACAGTACGAATGTAATGATAAAAACATATTTTTCTGATGTAATCTACAAGTTACTTAATTTGAACTATAGTTGTTTGTACTCACAAGTTATTTGTATTGGACCGGTTTATCGCAGGACACAAGGTTTCTCATTACTGCGAGTAGTGCAAAACATATTAAAATCGTTCTTTTTTCTTTCAACTTTCATATCCAAAATGGTACAAAGAGGACAATATGGGAAATGGACTGAAAATGAATTACAAATGGTTGTTGCGGCGTATAAAAATAAGGATTATGATTTCAATAAGTGTAGTAGGGAGTTCTTAAAGCTACAATAAGGAGACATGTTATAAAGAAAAACTGATATGTGAATGTTGTGAAGGCTCTAGAGAGACAAGCTGTGTACGTTCTCTCGAGATATGGAGAAGATTCTAATCATGTGATCATCATGTTAGACGTGTTTTTTTAGGTTGAGCATTAAAGTTCGAAAGTTAGCATTTGATCTGGCAGAAAACTATAAACAAATTAGGCTACTTTCTCCTATTTAATATTTTTTCAAAAAAATTACATTAATTGAGCGAAGAAATGACACTCATGTTAATAATATGAATTTTGTGTATGGACATGTGTGTAAGGTTTCTCTTAATAACACTAATTTTGAATCAAATAATTTTTCCCCAGTTGAAGCTGTTTTATACGCTTATTTTATAGCGTTTTTAAAATTCCTTATAATCAGTGCGAATTGTAGTCAACATTTATATATTTAAAGAAGCATCATACATTTGGTAGTTAATCGAGTATCTCGCAAAATTGTCTGTACTGACCTTCTTCCTCGAAATAATCGCCATCTGCCATCCTTTAATTACTAGCGGTAATTGATACAATAATTATTGCCCATCAAGAATCATTTCCGAGTTACTTGCACGGCAAAAAAGTTGTACAAAGAAAAAAAACGTCCGATCGATCGATCGATCGATTAAATGTGCAATTAGTTATATTCCTTTTATCCTGATGAATACATTGCCTCTATCTATCGATATAATTGTTTGATTTACGCTAATTACATAGTTATGACAATGATAATTTTATTAGTCTTGACTACTTGCTCGAACATATTGTCAAGCAAAAATTTTTTCTGAATATCTGATTTTGACAAGGATTATTTTTATCTTATGGTGTATACATAAAAAGGTATACTATTTGTTAAATAATTAAATTATACAAATATACAGGGTGTCCGCGCTAATCGCACCACACGGTAATGACACATTTTTGAAATCAATTTGAGATGAAAATTCTAATGCCAAAATGTCGAGGCTACATTTTAAATGAGAAGCATTTAAAGTTAATAAATCAAATTGTTCCAAATTCGCGCTTAGGCACAATTGGAGTGGATCGATATCTGAAGATATCCTCATTACTGTATTACAGTGCTCGGAATTAGTTGAACATTTCAGCCGATTTCCGCGGTATACGCCTGTTTCCTCTCTTTACCGCGCGCGCCGCAACCGCTAGGACCAACGCCGCCGAGC